TTGTTGACTTGTGTGGTGAAACACGAGTTTTCGGAGCTGCGATCGGTTCCCGGTTTTGCCAATGTCTCACGGAGAACCTAGCAGCTCCACGAATGAATTTCATAGGCTCCCAGGCTTCAGCTTTTTTAAGTATAAAATTGTCACACATGTTGTGTTTCGCGGGTGGTTTTCGACCGTCTGCGGCTTGACACGATTGTAATTCGCGGCAAAGAAAGCAAGAACAACGCGCAGAGCACAGCATGACTGCGCGAGCGCACCGGCCGCACTGCCGTATACCGATTTACCAGCAACCATTGTCAACGCCCCGCTACTAACGCCTCTTACCTACAAACACATGACTTACGGCTAAGCCGATAGATACCGTTCAAACTTGAACCATTTGTGTATAATCGTATTATGTGCGAAATATTTGTTATAATGTTAAACGTCTAATTTTCATTTTATAAAAGATGAGAAAAACTTTACGTCTGAAATTAGTTGCACTTAAATCCTTTCTCCGGACATCGTTAATCGATTTAGGAGGAAGTTTTAAATAATATTCGTACAAGTATTAGTACATTAGTATCAATAATGAGAGTGTAATTTTATAAGCTTCTGAAGCGGGTCTGCATATTATCAGAGACGGGGTAATGTATCCATTAATGTGTAATTCATTACACGTGGGATCATCCACGGGTTGAATGAAACCATAGTGTGCAAGCACTTTGCTAAATATAGAGATCACTTTAACTCCGCCGCTTTTACGGTAAAGTACTGCATCCGATGTTTCGATTACTTTATGAAGCTTGTCGGTATCTTTTGTTAGTGAGATTTAATCTAGAAAAATATATGTCTTTTGATCTCTTGCCAATAAATTCAGGTAATACTGAGTGTAAATCTTACGTGCTTTGAATATTTTAAGATTATACTGACTTATTTTGAAAGATATATAAGTAAATTTCAAGGGAGTTCACAAAAAATATACGCATTACATTTTATAAGTATTGTACTTATAATGAAATATATGTTGCAGCTAGTAAATTTTGAATTTATTGATAATGTAGTTTAATTTTTTCTCCAGTTTTTCAAACTTATTATTACGGATTAATATTTATAATATTAATTACAGAGTTTAGTATAATTGTTTAGTTGAAAAGTTGATTAAACTAATGAAATACAAAACAAAACATATACAAGCCTTTTTAGAGCAAATTAAAGTGCCAAGAATAATAAACCTTTCTGGATTCCTTCAATTGAAAGCGTAAAGATTTTATTATTATATTAGATATATGAAATGTCTCTTTCAATTTATTTTTCCCGTCTTCTATTAATTTTTGTATTTCTTTTTACTTACTCCGTTTGCAAAATGTATATTTGATTTAAGATAGCTTTAATCGATATTAACGCGCCGCATGATGTAGCCTTAGAGCTTTAAAAAACAAGCAACTATACTCTGTTTACTCTTAAAGATCTGAATACATCTTAGTTTTAATGGCCAAGTAAATGTTATACTTGCAAAATGCATTTATTTCAGTAAAAAAGTTTTGTAAAAGTATGCTTGAAGATATAAAAAGAAAATATTTTTGGAAGAAATAAATCGTCGATATAGTCAAATATTATAGATTTGTATAAATAAATACAATACTATGTATTTTATATTACTTACTTTCAATGACTAACGTTATTTAAGTATATTTTTGTGTCTGTGAATAAATTTTCAGTATTATATTTTACTTCTTTTCAGTTATACTGATGATAATAAATTTATAGCAAATAAACAAACTTTTAATAATACCAACGCTCTTGATATTAATAAATATAAGATAAAAAAATAATCTGTTATAACAAGTCTTCATAAGGTCCCAAATAAAATATAATTCAAGAATTTCAAAGCAGGTCTATAAATAATGCTGTAATTAAAAAGTGCTGCAACTGTTACTTTCTTAAAGTTATTTGTCTTAAGTAACACTTACTTTCATTGCATAAAACACCAACTCCCAGTATTGTTCGCGATTATTACAATTAATTCCCATCCCAACACATGAACAGAGAAAGTTAATTTTCCCACTTATCTTTAATTATATGAAACTGTTTGTTTGTCACTCGATTTAAATTCTATAACCTTTATAGAGAGTAAACCAGAAAGTTCAATAGAACTGTATCAATCTATGAACAACTTTTAACTTTTCAAATATTCCGTTTTATAATCTTTTCTTTAAAAATTCATTTATCTTATTTTTATATATCTTCCACCGGACCTGACAGATGGATTTAAGTGTCAAATATTTTATCTCCTAACAATAACATTCTGCGGAATCAAAATCACGGTATCAATTTGCACTAATCATTACTTTCAAAACTATATTGCTAAAGTTAACTCAACTTCTATAAATGGGACATAAAATTCGGAACGGGTCCAAAACATATTTTATAGTCATTTGTGATCTTGACTGCCGGATGATTCCAAAAAACCGTCTTCAAACTGGATTTATCGGTTCCAAAGAATTTCAGAAGCGTCCGGTTCCAGTTAACGTATATAATGCAAATAAATTCTTGAGCAGATTTAAGGGAATGCAAAAAATTTGGAAAATTTGTACGTTAAGAACGTTATGTATACGTAATTTACCTGTTAAAAGTTTAAAGAATTATGAAGTTTAAATAAAGATTTTTTTCTTCTGCAGTTTTTATTCTTACTTCGACAACATTTGACTCTGGCATCTGTTTTCAACTACTAAATCAAAATTTATTCACTTTATTTTTCTCTTTTGCCATTAAAACATTTTTTGAATATTCCCTCATATGTATATGAATATCCGTAATGTAAATATTACTAATATGTAAATATTACATAGTACTCATAAAATTCTATCATACGAATTATTGTTTTCAACTTTCTAAGAAAACGAGTATTAGACGAATATAAAATTGAATTACACATCATTCAATTCGTCGTATTTTTATACCGCCATCAAAATGCCTTCAAAATTGGAGAAACATCATGCAAAGCTGTTAATCTCTTAATAGCCCACGGGAATGTATCTCAATGTTATCGTGTCGGAGAGACAAATGTCCACTAATTGGCGAGTCAGACGGGCCGCTCCCCGGTTATTCTCAGTGGCTCAATTTTCATCGTTTGCACTTTATTTTTATTTCGGCAGTGATGAGGTTTTTAAAATGTCAACTAAAGAAAATATTTCGCAAAAGAATTAATTTGCTCGACTGACAATTAAATTAGTTTGAAATAAATGATAAATAAAATAAAGAGATATAAGTTTTGAGTATTATTTATTATTTTAATTACAACTACTGACGGTTACATTTATTTTACTTTAATACTTACTATTTTATTACATCTAATACTTCATCCATGCTAGCATGTCGCTTACATCCGGCTAGGAGAAGAGTAAAATGAAAAAAATTTTTTGTTGTATCTTTTATCCTTTGTTCGATTTTTCCGTCTACCTTAAGTTCTCTGTCTACACTTCTCCCTTCCCGGGTATACTGGAAGAAATCCCTTCTAGGGATAAGTATACCTTTTAAACTTATTTTTCCTGTGTTATATTCTTTTGTCCTTTATGTTTCTGATGTTTAAAAAATTGTTAAATAAAATAAATAAATAAATAAAATGAAAAACATCGGCAGAGTAGCCGACGCTGATAAGGCAATACCTCGCTTGAATATTTGTTGACCCTGTCATAATTAGATATTGTTACAATTAAAAATAAACAAAATTTTATTTATTCATTTTGATTCTGGTATTTTACGTGTTCATTACCTTTTTTTATTTTTACCAATATGTTGTAAAATATACATTGTAATTTGATATTAAAGTGGAGTAGTAAAAAAAATCAAATTTTAGTGATTTTATCATATAAATTAGGTGTGCCACTAATTGCCAAAATAAATGAAAGGTTTCATTGTGACTAATTGTGACAGAAAAAGTTTTAGGAATTCATTCGAGATTCAAAGTCTGGCCGTCATCTAGCCCGGAATTTTATCCACTGGATTATAATTTACAGATAGTTTTAGAGAGTTACACTTGATCTAAACGCCATGAAAATAATTAATTTATAATCCCTAAAGCCTTAGAAAAAGTGTGTGTTGTTATTGGTAACTGGCCTGAATGTTTCAAAAACCGTATTACTGTCATTGTAGACTACTTCAACGAATGTTTTAAAAGTTTTATATTACGATATAAACTAAAACATTTTAATCTTCTATCTTCTATATATATAAAAATGGATTGCTGTTCCTTAGTCTCGCTAAAACTCGAGAACGGCTAAACCGATTTGGCTAATTTTAGTCTCGAAATACTCCTGAAAGTCCAAGGAAGGTTTAAGAGGTGAGAAAAATTGGAATTATTGCCGGGAAAACCCTAAAAACAGCCCTTTTCTATTTCCCATACAAACGATTTTTTGACATTAGACTTGACAACTAACTAATATGTCAATCATTCTGTTCGATTGAAACAGTAGAAATTTAATTAATACCAATACCGAGTTATTGAAGACGGAATAGAGTTTGCCCGGTCAGCTATACCTATATTACTAATGACGAAATTAACGCGGACGAAGTCGCGGGCAAAAACTAGTATTATATAATAATGCCAAAAAAATGCTTTTCTTTTAAATATTTATGGCTATTTAACTGTCATGTCAAAGCAAATGAGTCATCTGTTGGGTTTTCTTAATTTAATAAATATTGTTTTGCGTTACGAACCTACTACAACTGTGATCTGGATTTTTTTTATACTCCGTATACTAATATGTATATAGATATAAATTGAAATTTATCGATCTACAATCGATTTTTAATATCTTCCCTATTTCAAACAAGCAAAAATCAACAATAAAACCGCTACTCAAAATTATTAAATACAACGCTTCAATAAACAGTTTCGTATGCATTGTTTTTCCATAAAATCACAACAGACTTTTGTACAATACTAAATCCTCATCTAAAGACAGGAGAAGTAATTTGTATGCGATGTTTGGTTGTCGCATTAAATAATGTGTAATTAATTATATTATAATATATATAACCCACTTTCCCGTTCCCTTCTCGAGAGTCACGAGTTCGTCAGTAGCATGCGGCGGGTCGCGGTGTGATAAATGTCCTGACAGTCTAACGGGACGGATGCCTTCCAACTGACCCATATAGCCAGCCTTATTACATAAACTATTTAACCCATTGGTGACTAAACTGCATTCTTTCGTATAAATTCAATATTCATTATATAGGCAGTAATTTTAAATGAATGCCTTATATGTTAGATTAATAGAAGTAAGTAGTAGTAGTAAGTAAATAAGAAATCATATATTATATGCACATACGTACCAATAAATTTTATGTTTTTTTATATTGCTCTCAGCATTTAATCGAAGTTTGTGGGCCAAAAAGTAATAGTTTAAACAAAGGTCCTTTTTTATTATTACAACTTCAATATCGCTCATCTGTAAAGTACCTACTCTCGAACAATTTTATTACTTCAATTAAAATCTTTATCTCGTGTTATGGTGATGTGCAACATAATATTCAAAGTGCAATAAGTGTCAGCAGTGATTCTGGCGTGTAGTCAAAATGATAGAGGTATTACCTGCGTGGTTTAGGTCTCAGTATTTCATGCGGCGCGGGCTGCCTGCGCGGCGACCAGGCGGCGCAGGCGCAAGCGCGCTCGGCACTCGCCCCCGACCCCGCACTCACCGCCACCGCTACCGCCGGCGCCGCCTCACTGAGCCTGCGTGCATCCTCACTAGAAACACACAATATAAATCCATTCATTATAAATCAACAATGGTAGAACTAAACATTGAGGGGTCGAGAACAATAAACAAATAATTTGTCTGTTATTTTTAAATTTGTTTTATTGTAAGAATGGATACTTTAAAAAACTACAATTACAATCATTCAAAAGTAGTTAACAAGTTGTGAACAATTTATTCTAGTTACATCGCCAAAACATATCTGAAGGTATATAACCGATAAGAAAATACTTGACGTTTCCATTAATCTATAACTATCGTGATCGTGATGAAGTTGAAAATGAATAAAATCGTAATAGAATTTGATTCGTTCCCCATATAAAGAAGAAAAAAGTCTAATTAAACTTAATATTACTCGGGGTTAATCTGTTGGTATTAAAAATTTTTAGGTTAGGACATAAGGTGGCTTTACAAACCTGGCAAACCTAATATACAAACATGACAAGCGTTGAGCTCTTTAAGGAAATACTTTTACTTGCAAGTTTTCATACTCATAAAATTATATAGTTAGAAGCCGTCGAACTAGCAACATTTGTCCATACAACCGAAAAATAACCTGAAGTTTATCGTATCCTGTCAACAAAAAAACTCAGCTCTGTCACAAAAAAGGAACTTTTCGTAATAGATCTCCCTATATTGTGTAAATCAAAATATCTAAATGAAACTTCTACACTTAAAAGCATCAAAATCGAATCCTAAACCCATATCTTGTTCAAGCGAGCTAACCTATTTAATTAGTAGTTACATTAAAGCAATCTACCTGTCTATAAACATTAAACACGAGCCACCATTAAAATGGGTAATATATTATACCTTACAATTTACAAACCGTTTGTCGTCGAGCACTCGATAACCTAATCGGTACAAATACGGTAAGACTGGACGGAACCCGTGGAGCAGCATTACTATCAAATTGCTTGCGTTCTCGACACGTATCAATGTATACATTCCTGTTAGAATCATTACTAGTGAATGGGGATGCTTTAAGTGGATCACACTTAGAACTGCCAAGATGGTAGAGGAATTTTTATATCTAGTTTTTGTTTCGTAATTGAAGAATCGATTCGATTTATTATTATCACTTTACTCCATGACATTATTGACCATAGAGCTTTTTTGTTGTTAACAGTTTATTTAAGAGCGTTTATGACACTTTTAATCCGATTTATAGCTTCGAGTTTTTTGAGGAAAATCAATCGAGAAAACGAGTTGATTGTCAGAAGTAAAGTTTTATTTATTTTTATTTTAAGAGATGTAAAATTTTCGTAATACTCATTACAGCAACTGTTTAAATAGTGTATTAAATAAAGAAATAGAAGAAAGAAGTAAAGAGATAAAACTTTAGATAAATTTAAATATGTATATGAAGGTAACATTTTTATATTACTACGCGTTATTTTATTAGTTTAAAACTGCATACTCCCGACGTTTCGGTTTCTTTTGCAGCAACCGAAACGTGAGTGTGTAGTTTTAAAATTTCAATAATTTTGACTAAACAGAAGAACGACAATAGGTAAACACTTGAGGTTGTAAGTAAGGTTTACAGCAAATAATGTGCGTATAATAAATTATCCTAAATAATGACAAAAAAATAAATAGTGAGTTTAAATTAGAGACTAAACAATATTTAAAATTATTTACTAGTATTGTTTTGAATTTTTATTTGTTTTGTTTAAGATTTAATTAAGTAGTAAATTTATTTTGTGGCAAAATAATGATCAAAAGAGGTGTCATTAAAACATTACCTTACGGTTTACTACATCAAGAAAATATTTTTAATGCCAAGATATAAGGGATTTGCGTGTAATTTAGGTATAAATTAATCAAGTGAGTATAGTATTAATTTGGCTTTATACATCCTATACTAATAAAATATAGTAATGTAATAAATCGTACGTAAATATTACAACAAGAACAGTCACGACAGCGTACCCTACTTGTAAAGTTAAACAACTTCCGCTCCAAGAAAAGTTAGACACATTAGACATATGTACTATGCCTTTTATGAACATGTGTGTTTTTGTAAGTCTATATATAAATTAAAGTATGAATTAATGCAAAATCTAGCAGTGCTATTTGAAATAATGTATTATTTTACATACATATTATACACTTAATATTAATCTAATTTTAGTGTTCTTTATATTAAATATAGTAGACAGTTATTCTGTAAAATAAATGTCTAAGAATCCCACAAGTCTTTATAATTTTATGTGCTTTATATGCATCCGTATTTTATTATACTTACTGTGTCGTTACTTACATATAGCCATCGAGAATGGCTAAGCCTACGCTTGTTCATTTCGGTTTTACTATTTAGACTAAATCTTTGTTCATACGTTACATCATTAGCCCAGCTTGTCTTCCTCACACACTCAGCTTATTGCTTACACAAAAATTTATATTTAACTATTTAAGTAAATACATAACTTAGTAAAGAATATATTCTTTAACATCTTGTTATAAAGAAGACAAATATATATACATATATATATATGTATTATATAGTCAGTGGTGGCCTAGTGGTTAAAAGGCTCGCCTCTTGTGTATGAGGGCTCGGGTTCGATCCTGGCAAGTAACAATGTGATTTATCCGAGTCATATGTACTTTCTAAGAGTATTTAGACATAACTGATTAATGCATTCCGAAAGAGGGTTGATGTCAGTCTGGCGGCCGGTCGTAAAAACAATTAGCCAAAACTATACACAACATGTAAGGCAGACCCTGGCTACAGCTGGGAAATTGCCAGATAAAAGAAGAAGATGTATTATATATATATTTCAAATCATATGTGGAATTACTAAACAAAATGTTATGAAAGCTTCTATTATATTTAACTTATGTTTATTTTTGATTCTTTTTAAGTATTTCTATAACAGCTCCTTATTAAAAGCATATCCACAATAGATCGGAACATTTTGTATAGTTTTCAGGTCAAGGGTTAAGAGTGATAGGTGCTCGGCATCCTTGAATTAAATTACAACATGTCGTCGCTATTTGCCGGCACCTCGTAATAGCTCGTCAGTAATGGCATTCTGCGGCCGAGACTTCAAGACTAGAAAAAAATAAACACTTTTCCCTTTTAAATGTTTCTCTTGCTTGTTCATTAGATTTTAATAGACATCTCAGGAATATTTTTACGCCTAACAACTCTTACAACATAATTTAAATTGGATTCTTAGTTAGCAAAAAGTTTTTAGAACAAAAACGTGATTAGTTTTCATAGTGAAGGCGTTGAATAAAAAGAGCATACGAGAAAAACATTATCAAGAAATAAGAATGTCTCTATTTTTTAAATTCTTTAAATTACTTCTTACAACATATGTATGTACATACACCCTGTTATTACACTGATTACAATAATAGTAGTAAATTGTAACGAATTAAAACAATCAAGTGGGAGGTTGTACAAAGTGTTAACAAACTAAGTTTGGACACGTAACTTTTTTAAACACGATGTTTACGCAACTAACGTACCGTATTTTTTTTTTAAATAGCAAATTTGAAATTTATTAAAAATTTGTTTTAATGATTAGTTCACCACACTGTTCTCTTAAATTAAATATATTTTTTAATAATGATTTGAAAACGATACCATTTTCAGACTATTAAAAACCATATTAAGATATATCTCAACTCATTATAAAATATCAGTGAAGATAACTTTTAACTTTAAAATAAAGCACAAACAGTACTGTAATGTCGAAGCGTGGTACCGGTAGCCGGTCATTAATCACGGGAGCAAAACAACGATTATTCGGTGCTGCCCGCGCACCCGGTTATTACCGGGATAACTTGTCTCAACCGAATTTTTTATTCGCGCAATATTGTTGAAGTCCCTTTTTAATCTTCTCAAAAATCTTGTACAATTCTCAAACAATTTACTGTCTCGGAAATGTTTGAATATTTTTCTACCTTGACAAAATGTATTAAAAATACGTCGTCATGCCGCAACAGCAGAATCAAATTTATCGAATTCAACTTGGAATTTGCAATAGGTGGGTATGAAAAGGTGTATTCAACGATTCATCGAATGGTCGCGTTGACTTCCAGCTTACGTTCTTCATGTATTTAGTGTCTCTCAACCATATCTCATAGCACTTTAAGGACATTCGAATGAAGATTCCTTGCTCGTCAATAGGAAGTACGTCGGTCCTGACCATTGGTTAGGGTTTAGCGAACAATGCTGTTAAATAGACGAAGTTTCTATAAATAGATGAAATCCATTTAAATTGTTGATTTAAATATACATATATTTACCTATGTTTTAATTCAAACCGAAAATTGCAATACATCCTTAAATGTTATATTAAAATTCTTTAAAATATTATTTCTCTTTAAAGAATACATCTTGAGTTCCTACAGTAGCAAAAATAATTTAAATGTAAGGTACACCTAGATATTTCTAGTTACTGATATATTATATACGTGATTGAAAGAATATTCATTCACATGTTCTGTTACTTCTTTTTTTTATATGATAAAAACGCTAACCTTTGTCTTTTTATAATTATTATTTGCTTCTTTTATACAATGGCTAACTAATTTTCTGCGCTTCTCTCTGCTCTAATAAATATACAAGAGTTGCACCCGTGAGCCTTAAGGCCATGACTTCTGAAATCTCAACTTTCTACTTATATACTTTTTTCTGCCTGAGGCCTCACATCCAAACGACTTTTCTCTTGCCCCATGCCCTGCTCACAATGCGCTATCTATAACTATAACTAAACGGGTTTAAAATAACCCGGTCCATGTTTTTACAAAGGTTGATGCACTAATTTGGGTGTGTCTAATTTTTGAACGGACCCGGCCCTCGCATTCGTATGAACACTATAATTGAAGTACCTCTAATTTAGGAACATTATAAATAATGACATTCCAGTAGAATGTGTTTTGATTAATAATACTTTATAACACAAAAATAATACCACAGATATATAGGAAAAGAAACTGCTTGATATTACAGTTCTACCGATAAAATTGGAACACATTAAAACTGTTGTAAAAGTCTAAAATCTATAACACAAACAACATAACCATAAACAATAAACGGGCTTCCATTGATCACTACATTCGAAGCTATTAAACCAGTCAGGAGGAAGCTACTTGTTTTTATCGAAGTCGAAAGCAATGTCGAACTAAAGTCACAAGAGCAGATGTTTCCATATAAAAAGAACGCCAAACCTCGTATCGCTTGATCACTCCGCTCTACCTGACACAATGGAATCCAAAAACGATTAAAAAAATACATCGATCGACGATTTATGGCTCTTCTTTCACGTGCCAAGCATTCCTCGAGTTTATGTATTCAGTGAGGAAAAACATACTTAACCTCTATTAATGCAAGAAATCAGCCTGCAAAAATAATTTATAAACGTGTTAAAAAAATTTGCCTACATATAGTTCTTTCATTCAGGTAGGTCTGTTAATTGCTATATATACATTATTTTGCAACATAATAGCAATATGATACATTTATCATCTACAGTATATATTTGTAAATCTTGCAGCCAATGCATGGATACTTTGAATACAAAATTGATGTTCAAAATTAGTATAAAAGATCGGCAAAGAAAGCTTGCACCAATATTAGTATTACAAAAATAATATTAAGCATGTTTTAACGATGGTATGAACATGCGTTAATTTCACAGGGTGTTCACTTTCACTATTGTATCGGTTTTTCAACACATCATCTTATCTAGAAACAGCGAGACGATAAACCATGTTATAACGACTATAACGTAACGATTCATTGCATTCAACTCGCTATTTGCATGTTCTGTGTTCTGTGTTCCGTGTTTTGTAACTTAATCTTCATCTATTCAGAAATGATACGGAATGAAATTTTCGTCATTATTATAACAAACTAGAAGACCTGGCGAACTTCGTATCGCCCTATA